ATTCTTCGACCGAATGGGGGGGCGTAGAAGACTTGCATAATCCCTGCCAGACAGGTCTTGGCTTTCCACCACGCCTTCACGTGCCAGGGGCCACGGTGGCGGATCTAGTGGCCATCGGCCCATCCGACCCTGTGCCTGGGTTGTGGGTCGGAGGCCTCTTGAATACATCTTCGGGTCTATTCGGGTGCCTCCTGCGGGCCCCTCGGAGGGCTCGTCGGGCCCCCCTTGGAGGCTTCCTGGGGGCCTCTTGGGGTATCTTGTGGGCATGCTGTGGGTCTCTTGGGCCTTCCTGGGGTGCCTCGCGGGTTGTCTTGGGGCGTCCTCCTGGGGCCCTCTTGCGATGCGTTTGGGGCCTCTTTGGCTGTTTGGGTGGCACTTGGGCAGTCCTGGTGTCCTCTTGAGCAGTTTCGAGGCCCTTTCGGGCCGTCTGGGGGTCCTCTTGGGACCATGCTGGCCCGTCTTCAGGCCCTCTGACCTTAGGGGGAGTCCTGCGGTAGCATTCAAGCCCCCCGACGATCCCATGGTTCTCGGCTAGGAGAACTCAGCATACCGAATTTTGAGAATTGGGAGCTCTTGAGGACCTGAGGACGCTCCAGCCATTGCCTCGCGGCACGGTGGCGGATTTTATTGCCAATGAGCGCGGCGCTAAGGCACGCCATATGTTGAACGCTTTCAAGACGAACGGGTGCAGCGCTTAAGACGGGAACCACGTTTCAAACATCATTACCCCGCTATGTTTAAATCTGTCGGAAGCTTTCACGACGAAGCTGTGCAGAGCTTAAGGCGAGATCCGCACGTGAAAAGGATTCGTCCTTCAGTTGAGCTGTTGGAATTTTCGTGCTTCAGTTCGTAAGCTGTGCGGAAGCCTCAGGCGAATGGACTGGGCCGCCCCACCGATTCGTTTGTTGGAGCGATTCAGATGAGGTGTATTCCGCATATCCTAAGATGGGGTTCTTTGTAGAAGTGTGATGCCTCCATCTCCCTCCTTCCTCCTCCCTCTAACTCAGACCCAATCGCACTCATATTCGCTCACACTCAGACTTACCAGCACTCAGTCTATCACGTGCACACACGCGCACACTCTGGCCCACTGATATTCAAACTCACTCATAGCCAGACTCGCTGATACCCTGATGCCTCTGACTTACTCAGACACCTAATTAACGCTCCCGCTCATGTTCACTCATATACAGTAACGCCGTACTCATACTCATACACGCATACCACTCACAATATGCATGCACATTCACATTCAGGCTTACGTATACTCATGCTCACACTCAGGCCTGCTCGCACTATGCCGCTCATAGTCATACCCGCTCACACTCGCTTCTCAGACTCAGGCTCACTCACGGTCGCCGCGGTACAGAGTGCGTGGCATTGGGGCGCCCCGGGGAGGAGCCGCCAGGGGCGGTTGCAGTCGCAGGTTCGCGGCTAGATTGGGGGGATGTCTCAGACGGTTTGTTTGTTTTCGAGCTCAGTTGGAGAGCCTCCTGCTCGCCGCGACATGGCCTGTGTGGCACTGTCGGAGCGCCCCAGGAGGAGCCGCCAGGCGCGGTGGCGCTCGCCGATTCGTGGCCAGATTGGTAGAGATGCCTCCCAGGCCGCTTGCCTGTGTCGGCGCCTTAGAGTGTCAGGCGATCGCAGACATGGATCAAGGGGGCGGAGGGGGAGGGGAGGGGGAGGGGGAGGAGGATCGCAGACATGGAGGGGGGGGGGGAGGGGGAGGGGGACGGGGATCGCAGACATGGAGGGGGAGGGGGAGGGGGAGGGGGAGGGGGAGGGGGAGGGGAGGAGGAGGAGGAGGAGGGGAGGAGGAGGAGGAGGAGGAGGAGGAGGAGGAGGAGGAGGAGGAGGAGGAGGAGAAGGAGGAGGAGGAGGAGGAGGAGGATCAGGCGATCGCGAACATGGATCCAGAGGGCGTGGATTAGCGATGGGTCCCGTTTCCACGGGACATCGCGGATCTCCGCCGCCGAGCGACGCGGCGCCGGCCGCATTTTGGGGAGGGCACCTCCCCCGATGGAGCAGGCCTGGCATTTGGGCACCCCACGGAGGAGCCGCCGGGGGGCGCGAGCAGGCGCCGGCTCGCGGCCACTGCTGGGGTGTCGCGGGCAGTCTGCCTGCTTCCAATCCCAGACTCGCCTCCTTTGAGAGCCCCATGCTCACTATCGACGCAGTAGGCGTGGCACGGAGGTGCTCCGAGGAGGAGCCGCCAAGCGCGGTTACGGTCGCCCGTTCGCGGCTGGATTGGAGAATGTCTCAGGCGGTTTGCCTGCTCGGCGCTTCGGAGGTCTCTCTTTTGAGAGCTCCACGCTCACCGCGATATCGCAGGTGTGGCATTTGGGTTCCGACTCGAGCGTGGCGCTTGCTTCGCACTCCCAAGCGGGAGCCGCCGAGGGGGTGAAAGCCTGCATTGAAAGCCCCATGGTCACCGCGATGTAGCTGGCCACGGATTTTTCGCACACTGTCAGTTGGAAACGCCAGGGAATGACATGCACTTATGTGAATTGTTCATACTCGAGAGGGATGGGAGACGAGGAGGAGGAGGCCGAGGAGGAGGAGGAGGAGGAGGAGGAGGAGGAGGAGGACCAGTTTAATCCCAAGACTCATCGACGAGGTTGGAATAAACCGTCCCTCCAAGCTTCCTCTTGCATAGGCCCCTGCAAAGGTTCATTTCCACTGAGGGAAGGGCCCCGTTAGGAAACAACCGCTTGAAAAGCCCGGAGCGTCCAAAACACCGTTCTCAGGATTTCAACGCCACGAATCAACATGACCGTTGCGTCTTCACGGTCCTGAACCGCGCCAGCATACAATTCCTAGCATTTCAGCACCACGAATCAACGTTACCGCGGCGCCCTGACAATCCTGAATCGTTCCAGAACGCAAGGTCTAGTGCCTTAACCATGAGAATCCGTGAAACCCTTGCAATTATTGAATGAGACTGTTCGCGGAGCTACGGCGAAAGCCACATTTTGAAAAGGAATCGCCTTCAATCAGAGAAGCCCTTGCAGATTTTGAATCGGCTGTGTGCGGCGCACAGGCACGAGCCACATTTTGAAAACGTCCTGCCCTCAATCCGTGAAACTCTGGCAATTTGTAAGACACATGTGCGCGGCGCTCATGCGAGAGCTACATTTTGAAAACTCCCTCCATCCATCCCTGAAGCTTTTGCGACTTTCTAAAGACGAATGTTCGTGGCGCAAAGGCGAGAGCCACATCTTGAAAACCACCCACCCTCCATGTGGGAAGCTGTGGCGAATTTGTAAGCATCAGGATCCTACATGGTACGGAAATCTCAGGCGAACCACCCTTCCCGCAGAAAGAGGAAGAGGCGGTCCGATGTAAACCCAAGAACCATCAACGGTATTGCAATAAACCCTCCTTCCAAGTTCCCTCTCCATGGCACCTTGCAAGGGTTCTCATTCATTGAGGAAGTACCACTTTGGAAAACAAAGTATGCAAATCTTGAACTGTGCCAGATAACCATACCTGGGACTTCAATACCGCGAATCACCACTACTGTCGTGTCTTGAGGATCCTGAACCGCGCCAGAACACCATTCCAGGGACTTCAACACCACGAACCAACGTAACTGTTGCGTCCTGACAGTCCGATCTCGTGCCAGAACACCAGTTCTGGGACGTTGGCCATGATAATCTTTGAAACTGCTGTATCGTCTCAACACGAATGTGAGCGGCGCTGAGGCGAGAGCCTCATTTTTAAAACGACCCGCCCTCCATCTGTGAAGCTCCTTGCAAATTTTCACGGCGAGTGCGCGCGGCGCTGAGGCGAGAGCCACATCTCGAAAACGACCTGCCCTCCATCCGTGCAGCCCTCGCAATTTTCACAACGAGTGTGCGTGGCGCGGGGGCGAGAGCCACATGTCGAAAGCGTCCCGCCGTCCATCCGTGAAGCTCTTGCGAACTTTAAATAATGGGTATGCGCGGCGTCCAGACGAGAACCACATTTTGGAAACGAACTGCCGTCAGTCCGTGAATTTCTTGTACCTTTTAGAGAGAATGTGCGCGGCGCTGGGGCGGGAGCCACATCTCGAAGACGATCCACCCGCCATCCGTGAAACCGTTGCACATGTTGAGTTTCAGGATTGTGGATTGTGAGGACGTCTCAGGCGAAACGCCGGGCCCGGCCTTCCAGCCGTCTTCGGGTTGTGACAGGGAGGAGTTGGCCATGAGGAAAAGGAATGAGGAGAAGGAGGAAGAGGAAGAGGAGGGGGATGGGGGAGGATGAGGAGGAGCAGGAGCAGGAGCAGCAGGACGAGGACGAGGACGAGGACGAGGACGAGGATGAGGACGAGGACGAGGACGATGACGAGGACGATGACGAGGACGAGGACAAGGAGAAGGAGGAGGAGGAGGAGGAGGAGGAGGAGGAGGAGGAGGAGGAAGAGGAGGAGCATCAGCAGCTGCAGGAGCAGGAGGAGGAGGAGGAGCAGTAGGAGGAGGAGGAGGTTGAGGAGGACGTGTACGAGGACGTGGACGAGGAGGAGGAGGAGAAGGATGAGGAGGAGGAGGAAGAGGAGGAGTAGAAGGAGTAGAAAAAGGAGGAAGAGGAGGAGCAGGAGGACGAGAACGAGGACGAGGACGAGGAGGAGGCGGAGGAGGAGGCGGAGGAGAAGGAGGAGGAGGAGGCGGAGGAGGAGGATATGGACGAGGATGAGGACGAGGAGGAGGAGGATGAGCAGGAGGAGGAGGAGGAGGAGGAGGAGGAGGAGGAGGAGGAAGTGCCCTCCCCCTTGGTAGCCGTGGCTCGGGCCTTTCGTTGTTGTATCTGCTTGCCCTGACTCGGTCCCCAGAGCTCTCCTGGGGTCAATCCTGGCCAGTCCTTCATCACCGATCAGGTCTTGACGGTGCCGTGGACCGAGTCGGCCTCCCGATCGGGCAAGGCAGCGAAGCAGTCTTCTTCGAACTTCCCCCTCCTGCTCCCCCGCCTCCTTCATCTCATGCAGGCCCCCTTCGCTCCACCTGCCCCCCGGGCCCGAGGAGCGTGACCACATGAACTCCTCGATCGTGGCCATCGTCAACGAGGCTGCGAAGGCGCGCAGCGTACCCTCCTGCCCCCGTCCCCGTTCTCATCCTCGTCCTCGTGTTTGTTTTTTTGTTTTTGTTTTTTTGTTTTTTGTTTCCCAGGACTTTTTGAGGGTTGGGGACGACGTCGGGGTGGTGTGGTGTATACTTTTTGCTATGTTTTTTTCCCAGGGGAACAACGAAACATGTTTACACCAGGATCCCGTATACTCCAGGAGCGAGACTCAGTGCGGGCCCAGTGACGACGCCTGTGTATATAGTTCGGCTCCTTACTTTTATTGAGCCCGCAGAGCGGGAGTCACGGCGGGCCCCCAGGAAGAAGGTTGCACACAGATTTTGGAATCAGCGGGTGTTAGGGGTACTGCCTCGACGAGAGTCGGTACCAATCGTTGTAATGTTTCTTGGGGCCATGTTGGGGTGCCGTGTGGGGTCGGACGGCCTTGAGGTTGTCCATGGGCGACGAAGTGCGTGAGGGGTGCCCCGACTTTAAGTTCCCCTGAGCCATCCGAGGGGTCAGCTGAGAGTGTGAGGGGTGCGCCCGTCTGAGAGCGAAGATCGCTCGTATTTTCACGTGTCCCAGTGTAGTATGGTGCAGGAGATGCGCGAGGGGTGTCTAGACTTGAAACTTTCGTGGTCTTCGAGGCGCAGATCGCTTGTTTTTTTCACGTGTCCCAGTAAAGGATGGAGCAGGAAATGCGTGAGGGGTGCGCCGAAGCGAGGCTTTTCGCAGCCCCCGAGGGCGCATATCTCACTCGTGTGTTTTTTTCCGTGCTCCGGGAGCTGTCACGCGAGTGTGCCTCGCGCCTGGGAGCTGGGATTAAGTCGGGCACGTCCCTCTACAGGGGGAAGATTCAGGAATAGTCAAACAATAGTCTGGGGACGATTTCTGGACCATTTTGGAATATTTTTGAGCATTTTTGGACTAGTCTTCATTTTTCGTCCAAAATCTGCCTGTAGGAGGACATGTCCGACCTAACACTTGTATTTTTACGTGTCCCTGGGAGAATGGGGGAATCGGCCAGCCTGGGCCGGCGGAATGGGCGAAGCTTCTCTTGGCATTAGGTCGGGCATTTCATTTTATTGGCGGATTGTGGACGAAAAGTGAGTAAATAATGTTCGAAAATGCACCAACGTAGTCAACACAATAGTAGACAAATCGTCCCCATTTTTTTTGACCATTTTTGAATGTTCCTCCTGTAGAGGGGCGCGCCCGACCTAATCTTAGCACATCTTATGCACGCTCTTCCCTCTCCTCCAGCATCCTCCCTTTCATCATCTACCCTCGGAGCCCACAGCACGGCCGGGGCCCGCAGGGAACCCGCCAAACTGAGCCCGCAGAGCGGGAGACATGGCGGGTCCCCAGGGGGAAGCTTGCACGCAGATCTTGGAATCAGTGGGTGCTAGGGTTAAGTCTTGCATGTCCCTCTACAGGAGGAATATTCAGAAATAGTTTAAAAAATTGGCTGGGACGATTTGTTCTTTCTATTTTCTTGATATTTTTTATTTTACTTTCTTTGGAATATTTTTTGACGATGTTTTATTTTATGTCCGAAATCTGCCTGCAGGGGGGCGTGCCCGACCTAATGTTGGGGGTACCGCCTCGACGAGGGCCAGTACCAACCGTTGCAATGTTTCTTGGGGCCATCATGGCGTGCCGTGGGGGGTCGGACGGCCGCCTCGCAGCGCGTAGATCGCCCGTATTTTCACGTGTCCCAGCAGATTTCATGGAGCAGGACATGCGTGAAGGGTGTGCCGAAATGGCAGGGTCGTGGCCCCTGAAGGCGTTGCTAACTCGTTTCCTTACGCGTCCCAGAACAATGTCAGACAGGAGCTGCGTGCGGGGTGTGCCGAAACGAGGGCGTCGCAGCCCTGAGGGTGCATCTCACTAGTGTTTTTACGTGTCCCAGGATGTGTCACGCGCGCTCGCCTGGCGCTGGGAGCGCAGATCATTTTTTTTTACGTGTCAAAAGTGGGATCAAGGTGCGGCTGCCCTTCGGAATCCGCGAAGCCCCTCCTAGCATGCCTCTCGCATGCCAATATCATCCCCTTCATCACCATCGTCATCATCATCATCATCATCATCATCATCATCATCATTATCATCATCATCATCATCATCATCATCATCAGCATCATCATCAGCATCATTATCACCATCATCATTCTCATTATTAGCATCATCATCACCATCATCATGATCATCACCATCATCATCACCATCATCTTCAGCACCATCACCACCATCATCATTATCATCATCGTCATCATCATGACCTTCATGATGCTGATGATGATGATGCTGCTGCTGCTGATCATCATCAGCATCATCATCAGCATCATCATCATCATCGTCGTCGTCGTCATCGTCGTCATCGTCATCGTCATCGTCGTCATCATAAACTCTTCATCTGCCCTTGGAGCTTACAGCATGGCCATGGCCCGCAAGGGGTTCGGCCGAACCGAGCCCGCGGAGCAGGTGCCACGGCGGGCCCCCCAGGGGGAAGCTCGCACGCCAGTCTCGCAGTCGGTGGGTGCTCGGGGTGCGGCCTTGTCGAGGGTCGGCCCCCAGTCGTCGCAATGTTTTGTTTGGGGGGCCGTATTTGCGTCCCCTGTGGGATTGGGCGGTCTTGGGGGCCAGCTGAGGGCCTTGGTGGGGTCCATGGGCCACGAAGTGTGAGGTGCTCTCTTTGCTCTCCCCGGCACGTGTACGCATGGAGAGGTTACGACCGCCACGCTTTGGCCCAAGGAGGCAAGGACCATGTCCTTCTCCTGATGAGTGTGCGAATGCGAATGGGCCACGAAGCGTGTGAAGGATGTTCCGAAGGAAGGCTGCAAGGAGCCGTCTTGAGAGGCCGACTGAGCGCCCGTGGGGGTCCATAAAGCACTACGTGCGCGAGGGGTGTGCCGGATTGAGGCTCCAAGAAGCCGTCTCGGGGGCCAGCTGGGCGCCCATGATGTACGACATGCGTGAGGGACCGAGCACGAGGCTGTGGCTCCCGCGGGTCGGCGAGGGCGCGAGCGCAGTCCTGGGGCACGCAGCCATTGAACAGGACTTCTTTTTGCAGTGACCTTGGGTTCTCAGGGGTTGCTCTTATGTCGGGCCTGTCCCTCTACAGGGGGAGTATTCGAAAATACCCCCAAAATAGTCTGGGGACTGTTTTTTGAATCTTTTCGACCATTCTGGAGTATTTTTGGAGTACTTTCTTTTGTTCGTCGAAAGTTCCCCTGTAGGGGGACACGCCCGACTTACGGTTACTCCGCGTTGTTCAATACGCGGGGGGCAGGGTGGATCGCGTGAGGGTGATGCGGTGGGCTGCATCGCGTGGGGGAACAAATTATCTGGGAGAACAATTTTCGAGCTCGCCGTCCTCGGAGCTTCTTATCATCTGGCGCGTGACCGTCGTTACCGGGGCCACCCCCCTGGTAACGATCGTACCTAGCGGGGGGGCCTGGACCCCTCCCCCCGCGTGCTGGTGCTCGCGCGCAAACTAGGGCGATGGCCGCACGCCCCGGCCCCGACTTGCCCCACCCCACGCAAGCGTTACGGTTGCCCAGGGCTCTGTCGGGCATGTCCCTCTACAGGAGGAGTATTCAAAAATAGTAGAATAACCTGGGAACCATGCCATGAGTATTCTTTTGACTATGTTTGAGTTTTTTTGACTACTTTTCTCCTTCCCTCCAAACTCCGCCTGTAGGAGGACATGCTCGACCTGAGCCCAGGGCTCCAGCCCCTCCCCTCCCTGGGTCACGACTGTTCGCGGAAATACGAGAACTCTTGCCAGGCCGGTATGGGGGAGTTCCCGAGGGTTAAGTCGGGCCTGTCCCTCTACAGAGGGAATACTTAAAGATAGTTCAAACATTAGTTTGGGTTCGTCGATTTTGACCATTTTTGAATCTCTTTGGGGCACTTGTTTTGTATTGTCCCAAGACCGCCGGTAGAAGGGCATGCCCGACCGAAGCCCAGGGCTCCAACTCCTTCCCCCCCGCCGGGTAATGACCGTTCTCGTGATTTGGGCGTGGGGCTGGGCTTCCACACATCGGGTTCCACACCCGTTGGGCTCCGCTTCCATAGGCTTCCACACGCGTGGGGCTCTGCACACACATAGGGCTCTACACACATAGGTAACGACCCCTCCCCCCCATCGGGTAACCCCTCCCCCCCTCCCGCCGGGTAAATAACAAGAACTCTTCCCAGGCCGATCGAGGGCGCTGGGCAGTTCACCGGGCGCGAGTCGACCATCGGGCCCCCGGCCGCTGGACATCTGGCCGGGTGTCCACGGGACGGTCTTCTGGGCAGTCGTGGGCCGCTGGGCAGCAGCCCGCTGGACAGCCCATGGGACAGGCTGGGTGGGCAGGTGGGCAGTCCGCTGGACAGTCCAACTGGGTAGTCACAAGTCGGGCGCGTCCCTCCGCAGGGGGAATATTCAGAAACAGTCCAGAAATAGTATGGGGACGATTCTTCGACGATTTTTTACCATTTTCGAATATTTTTTGAGTATTTTTGACTTTGTCGTCCACGATCCGCCTGTAGGGGGACATGCCCGACCCAAAACTGGGGAGTCTGGACGTCCTGCCGGACAGCCTGGTTTCTGGGTCGTCGGTCTCTTCGGGGCCTCTCGATGCCCTTCTAGGTTGTCTTGATGACATCTTGGGCGTCTTTGATTTCTCTTGGGCTTCCTCCTCCTCCTCCTCCTCCTCTTCCTCCTCTGGACCGTTTTGGGAGCCTCTGTGGAAGCTCTTGGGCCGTTCTTGCGCTCTCCTGCCTCCCTGGGACAGTCGCGCGACCGTGGCCTGGTAGCGCCTGGTAGCGCTTGGACCTCGGGGCTTTGATTCCCTGGAGTGTTCTCTACACTGCTCAATAACTGATAGAAGCAATTTTGAGGGACTCAATGACACCCCCACTACGTGCCAAGGCACGGTGGCAGATATATGTTTGCGCGACGGTCGCCGCACGGGACGGGTCACGACCTGAACGCCACACGCGCTAATCTTTGAAGACTCCTTCAGGA